AATTTCTGAAGAAGGATCCAGACCCGAAATGTCAGCTTTCCTGCTCCTCTGATGCTGCTTGGCCTGCTGTGTTCATCCAGCTTCTACGCCTTATTATCTTGAATAATTCTACTGGCTAGGTTTAAAGTAAAATGGCTTTCTGTATCCATTTCTTTCTGTGAGATCCCATATTGTTCAAGTTATGCCATGAAAAAGGCAATTCAGCCCACTTAGTTCATATCATCATATTGTGTATGTCAGTCCAGTCAGATCCATTCCTCCACTTGATCCTTTTAGCTCTGCAGGTATTATTTTCCTCAAATGTTTGTCTGATTTTCTTTTGAAATCATTGGTTGCCTCAACTTTCATTATCCTCATAATAAATAGGATATATAATAATAAAAATCAAAATTATAAAAGACCTAACTTTGAAGAGTGGAATTATTTGTTGACGGTTTAAATAATGATTTTGAATAATTTGCATGAAAACAAACTTTATCTAATGTTGTGGAGAATTTTCTCGGCTGTTGATTCTCTTGATTTGTGTAAAAAAAAAAGTGTCAGCATATTCAAACTAATTTATTGTCTTGACCATATTAGAAAAAAATTGGTTAGCAATAAAATTTGTTTCTTTGAGGCAAAGATATTAAACATATTCATGTTTTAGTTAGACCACTTGAGCAGTTTATTTAGAGCATAACTATGTTTCTTCATTAAAATAATTATTTGAAACTGTAATGATTTAACGTTTAAGGACATGCCTCTTTATTCTTGACATTTTTTAGGCCTTTTTTTCCCCATGTTAATTTGATCAAACTCAAAATTGTTGGGAGCTGCAAATGGGATGTTAAAGAGCTGCATCTGTCTATAGAGTCACAAATTTCAGACTGCTGCTGTTGTCTTTGTATGGTTACTTAATGGAAGCAATTCTTCTTTGACTTGTATAAACTTGTCCTGATCTTGTGCAGTCCTTTAAAAATCTCCCCTTAATCATCATTCTCAAAGGAAACAGCCCAGCTTCTCCTCACTAACCTTGGAGCTAAAATCCTAAATCTCTGGAACATCCTAGTTAATATACTCTGCACCTTCTCAAGGACCTTTACATCCTTCTTAATTTATCATGACCAGAATTGGACCCAAAAATCTAACTGAGGCCCAATCAGAACTTTATAAAAAGTTTAGCATTCCTGATCCATTTTGTACTCGTATCTCCATTTATGACACCAAGATCCCATTTACTTTGTTAACTACTTTCTCAAGCTGTCCAGACACCTTCTAAAGATAAATGTATGTGAACCCCCAGGTTTTTCTATCCTTGCACACCTCTTACAACTGTGCCATAAGTTTGTAATGCCTCTTCTCTGGCTCAGTAACTTGCCTTCAAAGCTCCTTATCGCTTCCCTCCATATTTCTAAAACCCATTAAAGATCTTATGGAATTGTATTTTTGGTATGTTCTTGGTTCCATTTTACCTCTAATTCCTTAACTGCAAGTAACTGATTTATTGTGTACATATATTTTAGCAATAACATGTATTGATCAGATTTTAAAAAGAGATTGTTATTTATATAAAATTGAACTGCCTTTCCTTTTATTCTCAGCAATGTGGAGTCAGTGCTAATGATGTAAAAAAGTTGGAAGAAGCAGGTTTCCACACAGTGGAGGCAGTGGCCTATGCTCCAAAGAAGGAACTACTAAATATCAAGGGCATCAGTGAAGCTAAAGCAGAGAAAATACTGGTAGGAATGGAATTAGATTTTCTCTCTTTCAGTTTTTTAAAAAAGTGACACCTGAAGGATTTGCTGCCAAGGTTCCTCCTCAAACAGCTACAAAGTAAGGAAAATTCAGAATTTCATATATGCTAACTATTTATGTAAACTTTACAGCTTACACACTATATACTGAAGCCAACATAACTTGAGTATAGCTTTAATATCAATAATAAATTTATACAATTAGAATAGCTACTTAACTGTAAGCTTTTTGTAGTCATAATTCTTCCTTTTTGTTCTTGCATATTCCTTTGGCACTTCTTTCCCTATATTAAAAAGAAAATTGAAAACTTTTTTTCAAAGGTTTGGAGGTAGAAAAATAACAACCAATACCTATTACAAAATGTCAGCCATAAAAGTATAAACATGGTACAAATCACCTTGATGTTGCGTTCTTACAATATTCTTAAACATAATGTATCAACATTTGGTCAAGATCCGTCTGTTTCTCTGAGCCTCCTAGCATCCTGCCATTCATTCGAGTAGTCCCTTGTCTTGTTTCTTCTTCATAGTGCACCAACCATACATTTATCAGGGTTATCAGGTTAAATTATTGACAAGCAGTGTGTGGTAACTATAAGATGCACTGCAGAAATTCTGTGATAAAAAGGATATTATTAAGCTAGAGAGAATTCAGAAGAGGTCTACCAGGATGCTGCCAAGTATGGAAGGTTTGAGTTATAAAGGCTGGACGGTCTGAGGCCTTCCTTTAATGGAACGTAGGAGGTTGAGAGGTGATCTTATAGAGGATTGTAAAATCGTGACCGGTATAAATAGGGTTAATGGTAGGTGTCTTTTCTCTAGGATGGGGGATTTCAAGACTAGGGAGCATATTTTTGAGGTGAGAGGAGAGAGATTTAAAAAAGACATGAGGGGCAAATTTTTTTATGCAGAGGCTGGTGTACATGTGGAATGAACTTCCTGAGGAAGTGGTGGATGTGGGCACAGTTACACCGTTTAAAAGACACTTGGATAAGTACATGAGTAGGAAAGGTTTGGAGTGATATGGGCAAAGAGCAGGCAGGTGGGACTAGTTTAGTTTGGGATTATGTTCGGCATGGACTAGTCAGACTGAAGGGTCTGTTTCGTGCTGTATGACTCTACGACCCTGACTCTATGACATCCTTAGACAGCACTATCCATATCCACGACCACATCCATCTAGAAGGACAAGGGCAGCACATACATGGGAGCAACACCACCTGCAACTTTCCCTCTAAGCCATTTGTTACCCTGACTTTGAAATATATTGCCATTCCTTCACTGTTGCTGGGGCAAAATCCTGGAATTCCCTTCCTAACATTATTTTGGGTCAAACCACAGCAAGTGGGCTGCAGTGGTTCAAGAAGGCAGCTCACCACTACCTTCTCAAGGGCATCAAGGGACAGGCAATAAATGCTGGCCAGGCAGCGATGCCCACATCCCATGAATAATAAAAAAAAAACTTTGAGGGGGCATAAAGAGAGAAACAAGAGAATGATGCAAACTCAGGCTGAGGGCAAAGCGATGGATTGCTTTCTTCCATCTTGTGGTTTCATGGATGTTTGCACAAAGCAAACAGTTGGTGGTGGTAAATTGCAGTTATTGGTGGGTTGCATAAATTGCCGGGATTGTAATACATCGTTTCATGAACTGACTTTAATATAACATGTTTTAAATATGAATTCTCCAATTTTTTCAAAAATGGTGGATTCTGCATGTGGTTTTATTGAACGTATTTCACAAGTCGGGGTTACTGCACAATCGTGAGGAATAAATAGTTCAACAAGTAAAAACAGCTCAACCAATAATGGAATGAACATGGTATTCAGTAACTTCATATGCGAATTATGTGAGGCTTGCTGAATTTAACAAATGTTTGTGGTTTTATTGGCCTGTTTTACATGTTAGAAGCAGTCCAGAACTGCATGGGACTTGTACTTTGTAGAGGTGCTCATTCCTTATCAGTGTGTGTTTCCCAAATGGTGAGCAGAGCATTTGTTTGTGTTCTTATTATTACAGCTTCACCCTATTTGAATTAATTGCAATTCAGTTTTATTTGAATGCATAGTTTAGAATTTTGGGGGTTTGTCAAGTGTGCAGGGCTGCTGATGAGCATCATAAAGTATTCTAATTTGTTCATGACTTGTTGTGAAATTAGTTCTGATCATACAGTTACCTAATTAATGTTTACTCTATATCTCTGCTTTCCCAACCTTTCCGAAAAACGTTAATGCCCTCTACAATATGCTTTAATAAGCTTTCTGATGTCTTGGTGAAACAGTTTTATTTTTGGGACTAGATGTTAAATGAGGCTTTGCCTACGTCCTGTGAAGTTTCTTTAAAAAAAAATTCATTCGGGCAGTGCAGGTTGACATGCTATTTTGGCATTCTTCTGAAGGGCTTTGCTACCAATGTGATTTTTATTGGGTACCAATGCTTGTGCATTTTCGACGGGAATCATTGCATTGACGTTGGAGGATAACATTGTTTTACATCTTCACCAATTTTTTATTTACATCAGGGAGATTTAAAACAGGTTGCTCTTTTTATGCTGAGAGATAGTAGGAACTGCAGATGCTGGAGAATCTGAGATAACAAGGTGTAGAGCTGGATGAACACAGCAGGCCAAGCAGCATCAGAGGAGCAGGAAAGCTGACGTTTCAGGCCTACAGTTTGATTTCTGATTCAGGAGTGAAAACCAAGATGATTTGTTTAATTTTCCCTTGTCTAGTCTTAGGGTTACTCATGCCATTTACAGCACTCGACCTGTTACCAGCTGGGACAATAAACTTAGAAGTTTGAAATGAATGTTGTACCCATACATGGGATATTCATTGTGTGGTCTGGAACTGGTAATGGAATTCGTTCAAAAGAACATTAAAATGATATGAGAAAGTGTTGAGAGCTTGCTTTGTGTTTTTTTTTCAGATTACAGCTGTGCAGTAACTAAAAATAAATTATATTTTTGCCAGGGGCACTAATTATAGGAACATGATTATAGGATTGTATAATTCTACATTGAATTATAAAGTTATCAAAATTTTAACTTAAAATGACCATAAAACCTAAAAATACTAATTACTGAAGTTGAAGTTATCATTAAGCTGTGTGGGTTCTTCTGCCGAGCCAATGGAAATTAATTTGCAGTGCAAAAGCCTCCCTACCCATACAGTAGAACCATGCAAGCATTTGTTGAGAAAGTCCAGCCCTTTTTTTTTAGAAGGGCTACCAGCAGGTCATAGAATCTTCACTTTGGATTAGATCAAAACTATGGAAAGTGTGAAATGATTCTGATATTATGTTGGTTTGCTGAGGAAGAAGAGAAGCTGGGTCTAACACTTTTTTTTTCCCCACAAATCATACTATTTCTATAAACATCATTGCTCCAAAAACCATAAGATATAGGAGCAGAATTAGGCAATTTCGCCCATCGAGTCTGCTCCACTATTCAATCATGGCCTCCATTCTCCTGCCTTCTACCCATAATGTTTGAACCCTTGCCTGATCAAGAACCAATATATCTCTGTCTTAAATACACTCAATGACTTGTCCTCCACAGCTCTCTGCAGCAGAGTTCCACAGATTAACCCTCCTGTCGAAGAAATTCCACCTCATCTCAGTTCTAAAGGGTTGCCCCTTCCCTCTGAGGCTGTGCCCTCGGGTACTAGTCTGTCCTACTAGTGGAAACATCTTTTCCACATCCGCTCTATGTAGGTCCCTTGGTATTCTTTAAGTTTTGATGAGATCCCCCCCCTCATGCTTCTAAACTCCATTGAGTATAGATCCAGAGTTCTCAACCATTCCTCATGTAACAAGCCCTTCATCCCTGGGATCGTGCTTGTAAACCTCCTAGACCCCTCTAATGCCAACGAATCCTTCCTTAGATATGGGGCCCAAAACTGTTCTCAATATTCCAAATGCAGTTTGACCAAAGCCTTCAGCAGAACATTTCTGCTGTTGTATTCTATCCCTCTTGAAATGAATGCTAACATTGCATTTGTCTTCCTGACTGCCAACTCAATCTCCATTTAACCTTAAGAGGATCCTGAACTAGGACTCCCAAGTCCCTTTGTGTGTTTAGAAAATAATCTACGCCTCTATTCTTCCTAACAAAGTGCATATCGTCACACTTTACCACACGATATTGCATCTGCCACTCTTTGCCCACTTTCCTAACTTGTCCAAGTCTTCCTGCAGCCTCCCTGCTTCCTCAGCACTACCTGTCCTTCCACCTTTCTTTGTGTCATCTGCAAACCTAGCAACAACCACCCTCATTTCTTAGTCCAGATCATTAAAGCATAATGTGAATAGTTGTGATCTCTACACCAGTCTCTGCGAAACTCGGATCACCGACTGCCATCCTGAAAAAGACCCCTTTATCCCTACTCTTTGTCTTCTGCCAATTAGCCAATCCGCTATCCACACCAATATCTTGTCCCTAATACCATGCCTCTTACCTTATTTAACAGCCACCTGTGCGGCACCTGTTAAATGGCTTCTGGAAATCCAAAAAGATCATGTTCACTGGCTCTGTTTTGTCTAACTTGCTCATTACCTCAAAGAATTCGAAGAGATTTGACAGGTGCTTCTCCTCTTTTACCACGCACTTTCAAGCACTCTGCAATCTCACCTTTAGAAATGGGCTGTAAAATCTTATCAACAACTGAGGTCAGGCTAGCCAGCTTATAGTTTGCTGTCTTCTGTCTCCCTCCCTTCTTAAACAGGGGTGTTACATTAACCATTTTCCAATCCGCTGTGACCCTCCAATCACCACCAATTTATCTACAATCTTTTTAGTGTGTTTCTACTTCAGAACTCTGTGATGTAGTCCATCTGGTCTGGGTAATTTATCCACCTTCCGGCTTTTCAGCTTCCCTAGCACCTTCTTACTGATGGCCACAATACTCACCTCTGACCACAACTCTCTTGAAATTCTGGTCTGCTACTGATGTCTTCCACTATGAAAACTGATGCAAAGTACTTGTTCAGTTTCTCCACTATTTATTTGTTCTTTATTACTCCTTCTACAGCCTCATTTTCCAGTGGTTCAATGTCCACTTTTGTCTCTGTCTTACCTTTCAGATATCTGAAAAAAATGCTTGAAATTTTTTTTATATTACTAGCTAACTTACTCTCGTATTTCATATCTCCTAACTTTTTGCTGCTTATTAGTTCCCTCTGCTGGTTTTTCAAAGCTTCCCATAATCTTCATCACATTGTATGCTTTTCCTTTTGAAGTTCCCCAGGAT